GCCACAGCACATACTGCAGAGGTGGAGCATTAGGTCTGATACTGCGAAAGCATTTGCAATGGCCAGGCTGGTTACGCATTGTAACTGACAGCTGGCCAAGGTCAGGAGAGCAGAAGAGAACATTTTGGTCACAAACAGCTACTGCTTTCTAGAAACCCTGTCTTGTCAAAGATCGGCATAGCTGAACTAGCCAAAGCCCATAAACTTTAGCAGTAATGCTGCTCTTTTCCTCCTAAAGGTGAATTTATCATCAAACATAAAGAAAGAACATCTTTATTTCAGTTTAGTGTAGCTAAACCAGTATCTAAACTGCTAGGGTACTTTTCCCCACAGCTTCTTTATAATGTCATAAATATATTTGATGCTATTTTTCCCCTTCATAGATTTCTTGTAATTCAGCATAGTAACAGCTTGTATTAAATGTGACTTGTTTCTTCCCATCTTTCAAGTAACCACTAACTCTTTAACTGGATTTCATCTCCTTTTCATTTCAGCTTGAGCCAGTTCTGAATGGCATATACCAGCCCTGAAGATGGAAGAACCTTTTTGGCACCCAAAATAAAACAACCGATTAAGGTAGACAAGCTAGAAGCAATAGTAGGGAGACCAGTAAAAGCGGGAATGAATTTGTGTTAGGACCATGAGTATAATGAAGCATATATAGTCTAGAAAGCAAGCTTTTCACCCAGAAACACCTGGGGTAAGAGGAATAATTTCAGTACAGTGACAAGAAGAAATTGGACATAAGATTATCAGTTACTTGAATAAAAAAATAAATCTCCCATTCAGTAGCAAAGGTGCCTCTTGACAAGCCTTGAACCACAGCAGGAATATGTGTAAAGATGACAAAAGGTCTCTGCCAGCACAGACTGGTAAAAGTGGGCTCCTCTGTGAGGGCAGCATGTCAGCTTTGAGCTGGGCAGAAATGCTGACTTCCTTTTTCTCCAGAACTATAACTCAGCTACCCAGTAAATTCTGGAGGAAGTGCCCTTTTTCGAGGGAAGTGCCCCAGCACCCAAGAAGGCTAAGCAAGAAGTAAGATGGTTAAATAAATAACTGAAAGCCTTTAATGATTTTCTCATTTCTGTGCTGGTTGATTTTTCCCTTATTACTTTGTACATTGTTAAATGAGAATCAGCCTTCTTGGTATCTGTTCATCAGTTTCACAGTCTCCCTTTGTGTCTTGAGAACCAACCCCCTTCTCAGAAACCAGTTTACATGTTGGAAGGGGTGACCAATACCTATCCTGTCCACAGAGTTGTCTTAAGGTGCTACAGATCGATGTGTGAGTGTCCCACCTGTTAAATTACTTTCTGTAGTGTAGATCTGTTGATTAAAAAAAAATGTATTACATTTTCTCCACATAATACCAGAAACACAATTATACCTTAGTAAATTGTAATGCTTCAGAATCCTTCAGATGTCTTTGCATAATATGCAGCCATTGAAATAATTGTTAATAAACTTTTGACTTGCTTATTTTTATGCAAGTTTGTTTTTACTGACTATTCAGAGTAAGTTGTACTGTTCTACAGAGTTGGAACCAGCTGGGTTTAAATGCCTCCAGTAGTTCAGAGATAAAGTAGCAGATGCCCTCAGGTACCCTGTCTGTGCTACTTTCAACTGCAATCGCTTCCTCAACGGTGACACTGTAGTTCTACACAAATGCAAGTAAAACATGATTCTAACATGGGTCAGGAAAAATTCCTACAAGTGGTAGGAGATGCTGCTGTAAAAACATGGTAGAAATGAGGCCCTCCTGTGTAATGATTTTATAACTGCTTACTTAGACATTTTGTAATGAAGTCAAAATTGTGTGCAATCTTTCTGAAAGTTAAAAAGTATTTACACCACTTAATTAAAAACCTCATCATCTTCTCCCCAGTCACTTAATGCATGCTGAGCACACCAAACACCTTTGAAAAAATACTGAGATGACAGCCACAGGAACAAAATACAATGTCAACAAGTAGAACAAAAGATCTAGAAGAGCTTTACTTTTCGACTAAGGGCAGTGCAGTCAGGGATTCGGCAATACAGAAAAGAAACTGTTTAAACTGTATTAGCTGTCAACTGCAACAACTGGGGTAGGTGCAGACAAGGGGTCCCCTAGAAGCTGCATACAGAGAAGCCATTTAACCACCAGTGAACATACTGAGCTACAGCCATGGTGTTCGGCACATTGATAGATGTCTCTGAGCTGTTCCCAGGTCATGCAACTGCATGGTTTGTATACAGATACTGATGAGCAAGGCAAGCACTCGCACTGACCCTCCAACTCACACCTGATGCCCATGAAGGGCAGCAGAAGCCTTGTCAGCATGGGGTGCAGGTTGGTGCACACCGAGCAGCAATGGAGCCAGCACTTCAGGCAACAGAAACCACAGCCCCTCGTGCCCTGAGGTTCTAAACGTGGTCCCTGACACCCACCTACCACATCAACCATAAACAGTGCATCATACCAGCAACAGGAGTCTGGGCAAAGCACTGTTTATACAGAGCAGGACTAACAGGCTCTGAAGAGATCTGAAACCAGGCCCTATCCTTACTGGGACTTAACAGGGGAAGATAGTATAAGTCTTCATACTGATAGCCACATACACACTCTGCCTGCTGCAGTTAAGATGTGGAAAAGAGAGAATTCACACTGCTCAGTAGAGCACTACAGTGCCAAACTCTGGAAACCCAGAGATGAGGCACTCCGCCCTGGGTGGTACTTGAAGCTACCAACAGCCATAAGAAGCATCAGCAATCACTAGAAGTCTTTTGTTTACAAACTCAGCATTCAACTTTCTGAAGACTGCCTTTTGCTTTGAATTCCTAGGAAAGCCCTTTTTGCCAAGAACTGTCACAAAAGCATCCAGTGTTGGCTTTAGAACCCTTTAAAACCTTTAAACTTAACGATAACCCTTTAAATTCACTAATGTAATTGCAGGCCTTTCTGAAGCAGTACTTCAACAACAGTTCTCCTTCCCATTAACTGTCAAGCAAACATGTATAGCTTTGTGCTGATGAAACATGAAAAACTTGCCAGGTGGAGTAGAGCCAGTTTGTGTGTTTAGTGAGGTCAAGCATACAGTACAGATCCAGACAAGATACAGAAACACCAAAAGTCAAGCAGTGAAGGGATCTAGATCTTATTGTGCTTGGTACTGACTGTTGGCAAGCAAAGAAACCCCAGATGCTTTGACTCATGAGCCTCTGAATGGCAGAGTGGTGAAAAATGCAAAGAAATCCTTTACAAATCCATTCCAGCCCTATGTACATACAACCCACTCCTACAGAAATGCAACTTTTCAGATGCATGCAGTGAATATGCATCACTGCCAGATGGACTGACAGTAGTTTTTCTCCTGACAACCACGATACTCTGCACACACCAACAGGGCTACAAGCCATATTTAATATTGCCACAGATTTACTTACACCAGCAAGGACGCAGCAGACCTTTTAGCTCTTTATTTTCAGGGTTTCACTGCCTAGTTGGAAAGCACGGCAAGGTGAATTTACATGCAATGAGCTTCAGGTTCCTGGCAAAAGCAGCATTCAGATGGAAAAGTATCTATTGCTAGGTAAAAAATTGCCAGTCAGTATCCTGACCGCATGGATCATTCCTGAAAGGCTACATCATTCCACAAGTGTTTTGTTTGTTGTTTGTTTTTTTTTTCCCAGCATTAAAAACAATAAATAAACCCAGACTGCCAAAATTCTGTATGTATGTGTGTTTTGGCATTTTATCAGCAGGGTCTCGGAGCTCAGGATGTCCATTATGCAAGTGCCTCTAATGTGGCCTGATTTGGAATACTGATCTCAAGGCTGGAATTGACTCTGAAAGCTAGTCCTTCATCTGTAAAGGTCTCATTTAAAGATCTACTGAAAAGAGTATTTCATTTCCAGGCACTTTGAAAACATAATCCTCCAGTTTTAAAATTTAGTTACCATCACTGGATTTTCATCTTCTATTTTTCAGAGTACAATTAGAGCACATCTTCCCTTCCTGTATGCATTCCTAATTAACATAACTACTGCTGGACAACAGAGTCCCAAACTACAAAGCCGTATCACATAGATAATGCAATGCTTTCTTTAGAACTCAAATTCTCTATAGACGAGGGAAGATAAAAGAGTAGCCATAGCTCTGATTTTGAAAGGTTTTCCTTTATCAGATTTCATCATTTATATGGGGTTTGGTCTGTTTGAGTTTGAGGTTTTTTTCCACAGGAGGAAAAAAAGATTAAAATATATTTAAGAATGATGTAAACAACTAAAAATAACATAGCTTGGAACAAGAAAGGAAACCTTTAAAGAGAAAAATACACTTAGGCTTAGCAAGCTTGTTTCATGAGGTAGTAGAAGTTATTTGCATCTTGAGAACCTATTCCAAGGAATCCTGCATCACATCTTTTCAGCTAATCTCGCTTCGCTGGAACACAGGGGTTATCACGGTACCACTTTCAGAAACACAGAAACCAGAGAGGCGTTTAGCTACAAGACTCTGCTTTTACACTTAGAAAGAGACATCTGTCTTACAAGTAGAATTTGATGACATGTTATTACTGAAAGAGAAAACAGGTGAAGATGCTCTTGCCAACCCCAACCTAGATGGACTGAAATGCATTTTGCCTTCATTTCATGTATTGAATTCACCTGGTAACATGAGTTCTGTTCAGCCCCTGCTGCCAAGAATACACCACTACAGGAACAACTATCTAAACATGGGCCTAGAAACAGCAACTAATATATGTAGAATTGTAGTAATTTTAATAGTACAGACATCTTAGCACATCAAGTGTTTCTGTTGGTATAAAAAGAGACTGTGAAAGAGACGTACACTGATTATTATCAGATACGCACTGATCCCTCCACTTAACTCCAAGCCTGACTTTCTCACCTTGGTTTACTCCAGGAGAGTAACTGGCGATTATCTGAAGCTGCAAATACACAGAATGGCTCAATGCTCTGCAGCGGGGGGGGGGGGGGGGGGGGGGGGGGGGAGAAAAAAAGTACATTTCCAGGTTTTTTTTGGCAGAAGAAAAAATATCTAGGGGATGACTCTGTGCAACTCCTCCACTTCGAGGCTCCACATATCCTTGTGCACGGGGTTTTCAGAAAGATCTGTCATCTTTATGGCTCGAAGCACAGGCTCAGGACTGCAGGACCGCACCACACCCATCACCATTACATACTTCCCTAAAAAACCAAGAAAGTGTGAAATCTAATTAGCCTCTATTTTAATTCAAAAAGCTAAGGAATTTAAACCAAGTAGTTAAACAGTTTGAATTAAAGCTGCCAATACTTGCAAGAAAACTCAGGGAACTAAGATTGCTTGGATCTGAGTCTGAAAAAGGCTACAAGATCTGTACAGCTATTTTACAGTAGTTTGCTACATTTTCACATCCACTAGGAGTCAAAACCAGCACGCTTCCTCTTTCTACCATGCAAGTGGAGGGAGGGCAATTCAGAAGACTGAACATTAAGCAACAAGACTGTTTTGTACCACAACTCCTGCAATGCTGCAGTCCAGCACTTGTTCACTTGAATTAGCAGTGCTGGCGAAGAGAAGAAACAAGTAAATAAACAAGTAAATACTGTCCTTGCTCCTAGACTCACAGCTCTTCTCTGCAACATCCCAGTTTGATCCACCATTGGCTTTAACTGTGAAGAACTGAAAACAGGCCCTATCTTCACTGGAACTCGCAGGGGAAGGCCGTGTCTTTGTACTGACAGCCAGAAACACGCTCCCCTGCGGCAGCACACGCTCCTCCTTCTGACTGCCATAGCAGCACAGCTTTTTCAGGGTGCCTCTTGTAGGAAGGCTGGTGTACGTGAAATAATGCCTGCGCAGCTGCGCTAGCTTTGCGCGCCCCAGGCACGTATTCGACACACACCCGCTGCCTGCAAGCCTCCCGCTTTCGGACAAGGGGAGCAGCTGCATCCCTGCGCACACGAGCCAGGAGGAGCCGCAAGCGACGGCCCACGATGCAAGGGAAAGAGGCCCCGCAGGGGCTGTGTACCGCGCCCGCCTCCCGGTACCTGCGCTGAGGCAGGGCCGCCCCTTGGGCACCTCCTCCACCCCGAGCACGGTGAAGGGGCCGCTGTCATCACGCAGCCGGGCCGAGCCGCCGCGGACGCCGCCGCGCTCCACCTCCAGCACGGTGCCCTGCATCCACACGGCCCGCAGGCACAGCGGTGCCCGGCCCGCCTCCGCCCGGCCCAACTGCCACGTCCCACCAGCACCCCGCACCGCGCCCCGCAGCTGGGCGGCCAGCACCTTCACCGGCGGCCCCGGAGCGCCCCCGGCCATGCTGTGTCGCGGGGAGGACGCGGGTGCCTGCGCCCGCTGAGGGAGGCGACGCGAAAGGCGGGAAGCGGCGCACGCCCCGCCCTAGCGGCACACGGCGTCGGCGTCGGCGCCGTAACGGCCGGCAAGGCCTCGCTGGGCCCGCACGGCCTCGCTGGGCCCGGACCGGAGGGGAGCGAAGGCGGCGCCTGGCCCCCGGCGGGAAGAGGGAGACTGGCCCCAGGACTTAGAAATAAAGATCGGGGGTAGCGTCCCGCTTACGTGGCGGCAGAGCTGCACCCCGCGTTTCACCGCCACATAACGGCGGCGTTCCGAGGAGCGGCGCTGCGATCGTGATGGTGCTCCTGCCCCGCAGCTGCCCGCCGCCCCCCGGGTGCGGTAATCCAGTCGCCGATGAGGGGAGAGGGAGCACGAGCACCCGTCCTTTAGCACTGGACACGCGCAGCCGGCACCTGTGCGTTAGAAACAAATAAAGGGCTCGTATGGGAAATAGTACTCGTCGGGGGTGTGCTGCCTTCGGTCCAAACCGCGGTCAAGGCAGGCCACTCCCAGGGGCTTTGCCTCCTCCCGACAAGCCCACGTCTGCTCCAGGGCTTGCCCGCGGCCAGCAGCCCCTTCCACCGGGGCACTTGGCAAGAGCCACACCTGAATCATTTCACCTCAGATCAGCCCCGGATCGACTCCTCCACGTGCAAAAACCAGCGCACACCTGACCCAGCGGTTTGGTTTGAGCAGAAAGCACTTTGCTGCGTCCCAACACCACCTGAGCGAGGCCAGGCCGCCCTGCAGCCCGGGTTCTGCCCCCCCCCGTCGCCTCAACGGGGACACAGGGTTACCGGCCCGCTCCTCCACACAGGCTGTCCGAGCCCTCCCCGGTGGTTTCATGCAGCATTTCCTCAGTACCTAGCAAGAAATGATGACTTCATGTTTACTGTTCAGTTGATTAAGATCCTCCAGTTTTATGGGGAAAAAGAGAAAATGCACATGCTGATTTCCTCAGGGATGCTTTCAGGATATATTTTTATTGTATATTCTTATGTGGAAATCTGAAGCATAATGCACTGAAAGTTTCAAGTTTTTAATGAAAGCTTTGAGCTAGGAGACTTTAATTCCAAGGCCTTTAAGAATTTATTTGCTGTTTATATTACAGATGGGCTTTGCTGTAATCTGAAATCCTTGAAATGTTAGGGTGTCCTTTGGGTGGGTGGGTTGACATTTCATTTAGAAAATAAGCCAAGAAAAAAGCTAATGGAAAACCAGGAGGGTGGAAGGAAGAAAAAGAAACGAATTAGGAAAATCAAGGGGACAGATTCCTCAATTTCACAAGTTGTTACCTACAAAAGCGCAAAATGGGTAAAAATGCACAGAGAGCTGACTCCCCTGCAGTGGTTCTTCTTTAAAGCAGATTTTGTTCTCCATTATAATAGCCAGTTACTTTATTTTAAATCTCCGGTTGTGTTTTGAGTAGCAAAATACATCAAAAGGCCTTTTTTTTTCTACTTACCCATCATGTTATGAATTATTTATTCAGTATATCTTTTTTTCCAGAGATATTTTCTGTTTAGAGACATTCTGTAAATGGGACTTCATTCCTTTTATAGGGTAAGGAAGCAGTTAACTTTTTGTTACCATTTACAGTAAGAATAAAAGATAGTATTGGTAATAACAGTAAAAACATCTAAGCACAATACAGAATCATGTAATCTGGCAATCAAATCATATGGCTTACAGGAACAGAAAGACATTAGATGGTTACTGTATATGAATGCAAATTTGAGCGAGGCTCACGGGAGTATTTGTAATTTATGCCCCTAAACTGTAGTCACTTGACAGCATCAATATTTAGTTTCACATTAAAAAAAAATTAATTGTGCCAAATATTGATAAAAGTATTGTATTCCTATTTGTTACTGTATAATAGGAGGGTCTAATGATTATTAAGCCATTAAATCTACAGATGAAGGCAGGACCCCTACAAGGGTGTAATCTCCAGGAGAGGCTAAAAGGTCCCTTTTAAAAGATTTTCCTTGAAGAAACTGTTACAAGACGAAGAGCAAAAGCACTGGTGATCTGCACCAAGAAATGGATTTGTTTTCCTAAATCAGAAAATCCTTATTTTTCAGTAAAATGTGAAGTTATACTGAATTATCTGCAAAGGTCTTATCAAAGAACTGGCTCAGCTCAGCATGGAGACACATTCTGCACCTGCAAGGAAAATGTCTGATGCCTCAACAGACTGTTTTCTGAAGATGATACCACAGCATTCATCCTGATTTAAGGGTAGCAGAGGAAGCTCAGCACTCAGAAAAGGCAATGAGTAGGCGGCTGACAGGCTGTAAATCACAGTGAATTAAACTTGAGCGCATTTTCTGAGAGCATGCTGGGTGAGACAGTTTTGGTTTGTGTAGATTAAAAAGAAGGAATCTTCTTCTGCCTGCTGCTACAATATGTGCCTTTCTTCCAAGCAGTCTTCAAGGACATTATTCCTCATGCTGACATGCATGAGATGCTGTCACAGTACACGTAAAAAAGGTCAGACTAGACACAGATTAAGACAGTCCAGAGCGCAGCAGGAGCCAGATCTTTCTCAATTACTCTGGCACTGTTTTGCTGATATGGTGTCAAGAGACCTTAGAAATCTGACCCATGATCAGAGATTTTCAAAGAATCAGCAACTTTAAATTTTCTTTCCAACTCAGACCTTTTCACCCTCTCACTGACAGTACTACTTAAAACGGAACCAATTCTCTGTCCCCCTGTCTAGTTTTGGTAAAAGGCTGATATGCAAGCAGAAAAATCCTTCTCTCTCTTGGCCAGAAATTCTGATATTTTACAATATCTTTCATCCTACCCAGAAGAGTTTTAAAAAGATCTCCCTCCCAGTGCATTGGTCAGTGTGTACAGAAAAGGTTCTTATAGAAACATAGAATGGCTTGGCTTGGAAGAGACCCCAAGATCATCTAGTTCCAAACCCCTGACATGTGCAGGGATGCCCCACACTAGACCATGTCACCCAAGGCTCTGTCCAGCCTGACCTTGAACACTGCCAGGGATGCAGCATTCACAGCTTCTTCGGGCAGCCTATGCCAGTGCCTCACGACCCTCACAGTAAAGAATTCCTTCCTTTTATGTATCCTGAGCTTCCCCTGTTTTAGTCTGAACCCATTGCCCCTTGTCCTATTGCTACAGTCCCTGATGAAAAGTCCCTCTCCAGCATGCTTGTAGGCCCCCTTCTTCAGTTTTATTTCTCAGTTTCTCTTTCCTAGTACTGAGAAGTCACTAAGTGGATTTCAAAAAAAGTTGGTTGTTGTTTTTGGTGGGTTTTTTTGTTCAGTTTTGGGTTTGTTTTGTGGTTTTTTTTTTAAGATTTGAAATCCAATCAGTATTTATAGTTAAAAAAAAAAAAATGTGTTTTCTAAATACTTGCTTTAGAAACAAGGCTACCTGGAAGCTCCACAGATGAATAGAAGAAAAGTCACAAAGTGTGGAGCTGATAAATACATGGATCATAATGGCAATGTCAGAATGGCCAACAGATGCCCATAAAACACATCCTATAGAAAATCTTGTTTGTAGTAGCCCAGAAGCTGAGGGATTTGAGTGTGATGGGGCAGCTCCTCACCTGCTGCAACCTGCTGCCCTGTGTCAGTATCTCCTGCAGACACTGCCTGCCCACAGTCACAGAGTAAACTGCAGTGATACGATTGTGTCTTTTATGTCCTCCTTCAGTAAGAGGAAGCAGGTAAGGAGCTAAGCATGACAGGAACAAGAAAACAGTACTTTGTAAAAACTCCATAAGTAAGAAGAGGGATCTGAGACTTCCTGGTATTCATATGAAACTTCAACTCAAGGACTAATTTTAGCACAGACAAGAGCTCTAAGTTTCACCTCTATGAGACCACCCTAGTTTATGCTTATTTTCTTACACTGAACACAGAACTACATGAAGCAATCACAGGAACATACAATTCACTTGTTTCCTGGTGTTTTGTACTGCATAGCAGATGCAATGTGGACATGTTTTTATGTATTTTATTTTTTTTAGCAGCCTTCCAGTATCTGAAGGGGGCCTACAGGGTGCTGGGGAGGGACTCTTCATCAGGGTCTGTAGTGATAGGACAAGGGGTAATGGGTTTAAACTTAAACAGCAGAAGTTCAGGTTAGATATAAGGAAGAAGTTCGTTACTGTAAGGGTGGTGAGGCACTGGAATGGGTTGCCCAGGGAAGTTGTGAATGCTCCATCCCTGGCAGTGTTCAAGGCCAGGTTGGACAGAGCCTTGGGTGGCATGGTTTAGTGGGAGGTGTCCCTACCCATGGCAGGGGAGTTGAAAGTAGATGATCTTAAGGCCCTTTCCAAATCTAACTCTTCTGTGATTCTAAGCTGACATGCTGGATGAAGTCTGGAAAACCATCCTCATCCTTCATTTATCTTTGTTTAGTCTATCTTATCATCACTGAATTTAATTATTGGTTTGAAATTAATGCATCAGTGGGATAGAATTAATGAGTCAGAAGTTGGTCATATTTGCATCCCTAACCTGAACTTCAGTTGCTTGTAATTTATGTTTTGGGACTGATCAGTCTGGCATATGGATGCTAAATTATGTTTGAGCAGCAATTTCAAAAGACCTGGAGCCAGGCAAGTTGACTGATGAAATAGGAAAACTCTAGGTGCAACCTGACAAAGCTTTAGTTAGCAGGGAAGTTTTAGAAGTGA